TTATAGTCAGTTAACCATCTTGCCTCGGGTAAAGTTTGGTTTTTAATATTGTAGTACATGTATGGAATCAAGTCACAAAAACGCAACAGCTACAGAAAAGCATGCATTCCATGCAAAAGTTGACTTTTATGCAAGCCCCATGCATTTCACTATCAAAGAATGGGTATAAAAACACGTGCTTTAAAGGGATTCCATATGCATTGTGTTTGGCATCGTGCTGACAACAACCACTCAGAAAAAACAACAAAATTACGCAATTATTCAACATTAGGAAATGCCACGCCTGTCCGAAAATGAGCGTCTGCGAGCCATTGGTATGCTTGAAGCAGGATCGAGTCAACGTGATGTTGCAAGGCAATTCAACGTTCACAGAAACACCATTTGGTGTTTACGGCAACGTTGGCAACAGACGAATGTAGTCAGAGACCATCCTCGGAGTGACAGGCCACGCGTAACCAATAATCGACAAGACAACTGGATACGAACAACACACCTACGAAATCGATTCCAGCCAGCAACAGTGACTGCAAGAAGCATCCCTGGCCTTTGACGAATATCTTCACAAACCGTTCGTCGTCGCCTCAGATGTGCAGGGATTGTCGCCAGAAGACCCGCCAGACGTCCCTTTTTGACAGGATACCACTGTCAAGCACGTCTACAGTGGTGCAGACAGCGTCTACGCTGGACGGCCATGCAGTGGGGACAAGTTCTATTCACTGACGAGTCTCGTTTTCACCTCAGCCACAGCGATGGACGGATTCGAGTTTACCGACGTCGTGGTGAACGTTACGTCACTCATTGTGTCATGGAAGAAGATCGGTTCGGGGCGGCAGCGTTATGGTATGGGGTGGGATTACAGCAAGACAGAGGACACGTTTGATAGTGGTAGAGGGAAATCTCAATGGACATCGCTACCGCGACGAGACCATTGGCCCTGTTGTTCTACCGTTTTTGCGTCGTCATGGCCCAGGCATTACCTTTCAACATGACAACGCCCGGCCTCATATTGCTCGACTTGTTCAGGATTCTCTTCAACAAAACAACGTGAATGTCATCCCCTGGCCGGCTCGCTCCCCTGATCTCTCACCAATCAAGCACATGTGGGATGAGATGGATCGGCGCCTTCTACGCCAACCACGTGTTCCACAGACACTCCAGGAACTTCGAAACATGCACCAGCAGATATGGACAGATATCCCACAGGACTTTGTGCGACGCCAGGTCCATTCCATGAGACGAAGATGTGTTGCTTGCATCGCAACCAGAGTTGTAAATTGACATTTTGGCATGTTCATGATTTTTTATGAAATCACGCATTTTCTGAAGTCAGTATGGCAAATTAAACCATTTGAACACTTACAGGAGTCTTTTATCTGTTGCAAACCGAAATTGTTTCAGATTTGGTAAAAAACATAACTTTGCATAAAGTCTTATTCAGTGTCACCGTTCGCTCGTCACGCCGAAGACCCGGGTTCGATTCCCGACATGGGTACAATGTGTGAAGCCCATTTCTGGTGTCCCCCGCCGTGATATTGCTGGAATATTGCTAAAAGCGGCGTAAAACCATACTCACTCACTCACTATGCAGTGTCACAGGAACTTTTGTTGTTCAGTATAGTATTGAACTAACATTAATTACTAACAGTTGCAACATAGATTGTAATTAAAGAACACACTGATAAAAAAAGAACTGCTTTAAAGGTACGTTTTTTGTAAATTAATAGATTTTTATTCAGTTCAGAAGATACGAATTTAATCAGGAATATTGTGATATGAAACATTGCCGGCCTTCTTAGATATGAAACAAACGCGCATATTCCCGAGCAGTTGTATAATGTAGTGGGCAGTGGGGAGTGGTGCAGCAGTGTGTGATGTCAGATGAGAATCTAATTTCATGCATAGTCTACTCCAACCTACCAGAAGTGCAGAGACTAAGTGAAGCTTTGTTTGTGGAGACTGCGCATTTCTGCACTCTTGTGGAACTGCTGAATTGTATATTTGTAATCAATAAGTGTCAGTGACGTGGATACACGTACAAGCAATGCAGACGTGCAACGCATGGAAAGCACAATGCAAACAGATAAATACAAGCTGTGTTACAAGTTGTACATTTTCTATAAGAACTGTGATGTGTTTCTCCCATACAGTCACATTGTAGGATGTGGATATGCAGAAACGATGGATCAAATTGATTTGTGAAATCAACATATGATTTGTTTGTCTATTTGACCTTTAAAGGCCGAACTACAAAACCCATAATGTTATGAAGAATACAACCAGTGATAGACAGATACCGACATACAGACACCACACACAGACACACAGACACATGAAGACACAGACACCACACACAGACACATACAGACAGACACCATACACACACATACGCACGCACAGACACCACACTCACGCACAGACACCACACACACACGCACGCACAGATACCACACACACGCACACGCACAGACACCACACACACGCACAAGCACAGACACCACACACACGCACACGCACAGACACCACACACACACGCACGCACAGCACTACACACACGCACGCACAGACACCACACACACGCACACGCACAAACACCACACACACGCACGCACGCACAGACACCACACACACGCACAGACACTACATACACACGCACAGACACAACACACACGCACAGACACCACACACACGCACACACACCACACACACGCACAGACACCACACACACGCAGACGCACACACACCACACACACACGCACGCACAGACACCACACACACGCACGCACAGACACCATACACACACGCACGCACAGACACCACACACACAGACACCACACACACACGCACAAGCACAGACACCATACACACACGCACGAGCACAGGCACCACACACACGCACACGCATAGGACACCACACACACACGCACGCACAGCACCACCCAGACGCACGCACAGACACCACACACACACGCACGCACAGACACCACACACACACGCACGCACGCACAGACACCACACACACGCAGACGCACAGACACCACACACACACGCACGCACAGACACCACACATACGCACACGCACAGACACCACACACGTGCACAGACACCACACACACGCACACGCACAGACACCACACACACGCACACGCACAGACACCACACACACACGCACGCACAGACACCACACACGCACGCACAGACACCACACACACGCACAGACACCACACACACGCACAGACACCACACGCGCACAGACACCACATACACACACACGCACGCACAGACACCACACACGCACGCACAGACACCACACACACGCACAGACACTACACACGCACAGACACCACACACACGCACAGACACCACACACGCACAGACACCACATACACACACACACACGCACGCACAGACACCACACACACGCACGCACAGACTCCACACACACGCACAGACACCACACACGCACAGACACCACACAGACGCACATACACCACACACGCACAGACATCACACACACACACACACGCACGCACAGACACCACACACACGCACATACACCACAAACACGCACAGACACCACACACGCACAGACACCACACACACAAACACACACACACACACACACTATGTATATATACTCTTCAAAAGCAGAAACGCACAGGGAGTATGTAGTTCACTGAACCTGACTACACAAAAAATCTGGTATATAAATTGGATATATGTTATTGGAAAATGTTAGTGGCCTGATATTCGACACATGGTGCGTCTAAACGCAATGTCTTAAATGGCATTGTTTTCACGCTTGTTCAAAAATGTCATGGAGGAAAACAGTAGAGCAAAATGCACGTGCAGGTTATGGCATTCGTAACGCGTGGTTGTGGCTATAAAAAGGCAAGCATAAGCCAATAATTTGTCATTCAATTGTCAACAAAGATCGAAAATGCCGGAACTCAGCGCTGCCGATCGGAACATCCTTAGATTGGAATAGCAGTCTTCTGTTGCACGCCACTTCAACGTCCACCACAGCACCATTTGCCGCCTTTGTGCCAGATTCACACAGTCCAATTCCAGTGCAGACCGTCCGAGAATCGGCCGACCAAGAGTTACCACCCCTGCGCAGGATCCACCGACTGTTCCACCAACATCATCGCAGTGCCACAGCTACGGAGACTGCAGGACGTATCCCTGGTTTGGGTAGGACATCGGACCAGACTGTAAGGAACCATATTCGCGAGGAATCCGACCCAGAAGACCAGTTATCGTCCTACATATCCTACACCACGAGATCTGACTTGGTTGTGGTTCAGGGAGATTTGACAGCAAATCGCTACATGAATCAAATTCTTCAACCTCACCATCTTCCAATCATTGACCGCCAGAGGGAGCTGTTTCAACAGGACAACGCTACACCGCACACAGCTCGTGACACGGTAGACTACCCTTATAATGCCAACATCAGCGCCTTGCCCTGTCCGTCGAGATCTCCAGATCTCAACCCAATCGAACACCTATGGTATGAACTCGATCGACGTGTACGTCAACGTGAGAACACACCGCACACACTCCCACAACTAGCCAACGCGTTACAAGCAGAATGGCGCAGAATTCCGCAGGATAGAATTCGTACATTTATCCAATCAGTGCCGAGGAGATGCAGAGCCGTGATTGCTGCCCGGGGCGGTCACACGAGATACTGAGTTCAGCGCAACCTTGTGGCCTTATGTGACTTGACAATGAACAGTTTTCAAAGCCTTTGTACAACGACAACTGTGACTATCGAGCTCAAAACTTTCATATTTGTATTTATCATATTAAATTTAATATATCGACTTTATTAGGTACAATAAATAATTTACTTAAAATCTACCTGTGCGTTTCCTTATAAGTGTAAGGGGGCGGTCGGGTGGCCTAGTGGTTAAAGCGTTCGCTCGTCACGCCGAAGACCCAGGTTCGAATCCCGACATGGGTACAATGTGTGAAGCCCATGTCTGGTGTCCCCCGCCGTGATGTTGCTGGAATATTGCTAAAAGCGGCGTAAAACCAAACTCAATAACTCACTCATTATAAGTAAAAGTATTAAGTCCAAGTCCGGAATTAAGTCCAAATAAACCTTCATGTACCCAGCATTCGAAATGAAATGTGCATTTAAGTCAATCCCTATGGCGTTATATTTAATTCACGATACGTTCACACACACGTGCACACATTCACGCGCATGTTCACGCACGCACTCACACAAACACACTGTTCTTTTTATTTGTAAGAATTCTTTCAATTTTAAATTTGTTGACAGTTTCTAACAACAACTCTTTTACGTCATAAGACAGAAAAAATGCATTTGTAGGATGCGGTTCAAAGCAACGTAACGTTTCCAACAAAGGAACAGAATGAACACAGCGTCTAATCACTCAGGCTGCACGAACATAACAGCAGTCCCAAGAGACCAAGTCAAAGCGTTTATGTCCCCAGAATGGTTTCCGATAATATATTCATCCATCTTGTCGGAATATCAGGATACGAATGAACGGACCTCGACAGGCGACCACAGTGGAATTTTCTGTAAGAAAGAAAATATATCAAAAGTTGTACACAAGAAAGCCACTCACACTAACATACCATCATTCAGCTACTGTTACGTATACACATTTACAAAATATTATTATTATTAAGTTATTATTATTATCATTATTATTATTATTATTATTATTATTTATTTATTTTATTTTTTTTAAATTTATTTATTTATTTATTTTTTTATATTTTTTTTTATTTATTTATTTATTTATTTTTTTATTTTTTTATTATTTATTTTTGTTTGTTTATATTTCAAGCAATATATAGTTAAAAGTTAATCATTAAAATAAAACACATCGTCTGGCACACTTGGCGCACCGACGTCACACAATAAAAGCACTATCATAAAACTTAGGGCCACAACTTGACATGTCCCACCTTTGTGACGGTGCCAGTCATTATTTAGCCTTTTTACAGTGAGTAAGTGGGGCGGTCGGGTAGCCTAGTGGTTAAAGCGTTCGCTCGTCACGTCGGAGACCCGGGTTCGATTCCCGACATGGGTACAATGTGTGAAGCCCATTTCTGGTGTCCCCTGCCGTGATATTGCTGGAATATTGCTAAAAGCGGCGTAAAACCATACTCACTCACTCACTCACTTACAGTGAGTAAGTGATTTGGTTATTTCAGCCATATAGCGATGAGACCAAGTTGATATATTTACAAGTGAGTCAACAATTCAAATTATTATTTAAAAACACATTTTATCAAACATACCTAACACTATCATTATCACAGTTTAAAACACGGGCTATAGGCCACCAGTAACCAAAGCTAGGCCACCTCGCTGGGGATCATGGGGACTTACAGTACCTCTGCTTCCTGCATGATACCCCAGCAGGATTTACGTCATCACTTTAGCCACTGGTGGTTGTGCACAATGCAAGCCAAAATTAAAATATACTCGGCAATGAGTTGGCTTAAAACACTGGTTGATGGTAGTTACATGGATTATGAGTGAGTGAGTTTGATTTTACGCCGCTTTTAGCAATATTCCAGCAATGTCACGGCGGGGGACACCAGAAATGGGCTTCACACACTGTACCCATGTCGGGAATCGAACCCGAGTCTTCGGCGTGACGAGCGAACGCTTTAACCACTAGGCTACCCGACCGCCCAACATGGAATATAAAAGGAATTACGTGTCACACAGGGGGACAATAATGTAACGGTACTTCAACCTCCTGGACAGAGCCTTCAATAATGTCAGTAGGTAGCATTTCTTCATATACCCTCAGGACACACCAATAATGTTACTAACAAATGTACACCCATACTTCATTGCCCAAGTATTTCAGAAGGTTATAGCTGGTGGGACAACTAAAAAGCAGAATCTTACAATCTCACAGGGGACAAGGGGGGTCCAGTCGTCTAAGGCGCCGCCATCCGCTGTGCAGAGTTGCGTCCCTTTAACACGCCAGAAACCTATGATTGTGGGTTCGAATCCCGGTTCGCCCCGATTATGTTTCTAGGTTTGTCAGCAACATACCCGTGCTCGTGGGTTTCACCAAAGTGGTAAACGTCTGAGACCTGCATCACTTCGGGCTTTCCTCCCACATTAAGCTGACACGCCGCGATATAACTGGAATACTGTTAAAAGCGGCGTTAAGCCAAGCTCGCTCACTCACTCATAATCTCACGGTGATTGATTCTATAAAGTTCTGGAAGAGGATAATCTTCATTTTCGTATGCAGACATACCACTGTAACAGCTTAAAACCGAAGACCTGAACTTCACAAAACTGCAGGAGATCCATCCTGGAAGTGGTTTTCTTCCCACTAAGTCTCAGGTAGCGGCCAGTCACGGGGGACGTGCACTGTAGGGCGACTGTCTTTCCAGGCTCTGTGACGGCTCCATTGTACATGTAACACAGTTGGGAGCTGCCATTAGCGTAGACAATAGGGTCGTCTTGGTACACGTCCAGAGCGAAGTCGTGAAGTCGTTCAGCTGAAACACCAAGATTATGTCAAATATACACTTGAAATATTTAATATTGATTTTTTTTCTGCAATTATTTTGACACTTATGAGCGGATCATTTGGTGAGTGAGTATGGTTTTACGCCGCATTTTAGCAATATTCCAGCAATATTCCAGCAATATCACGGCGGAGGACACCATGTGGGAATCAAATCCGGGTCTCTTGGTGACGAGCGCATGCTTTAACCACTAGGCTACCCCGCCAACCCTCTTCATACTAGAGAGCTGAAATTTGATTTTATGTCACATTTCAAATTCAACCAATGAAAAGAACCTTTCAAAAAATCAATGTTCACTAAAACATAACTGCACAGATGTTGACTCTAAAACAGAACAATGAAAATAGCAGCTTAATAAAACATCTCGATGTTATACAAAACCATTTTGTAAGTTGAAAAACAGTAAGGATGTTAAAATGTAAAATTTACGGTAATCCAAAACATTTCTTTGCGATTTGAAATACATTATTGAAAAAAAATAATTTTGCTTAATGCTATCGGTAGGATTTTGATTTGGGGACAACTGACCAAATATCAAGTATGTGTGTTCGTTCTTCGATATATTAACAATTGTTTTTATAGTTATGAATGGCACACCGGTATATAAGGAAGTTAATTTTAAGAAAAATCATGAAGACAGAGCAGACAAACGTTTATCTTACGTTTGAAGTCTTGTCTGTTGGTGACACGAATTTCCACAACCACAAAGGTATCTAGAAGGTCTACCTGCCACCAGGGGAAGAAATCGCCCTTGCCAACAGAAAAACAGGATCCAGATTGCCCAATTGCTGTAACGTTTCCGTCGACTGCGCCGCTTGGCGGGTACTTGATACGTGACCACATTGAACTTGCTTTTGTTGGCTTGTCTTTTGCAATATTAGGTAGAAATTCATCTGTTGTAAGAAACAAAACTTAACAGCAGAAACGCTTTGGAGTGAGTTAGTTTGGTTTAAAGCCGTTTTTTACAGTATTCCAGTTGCGTGTCAGCTTAATGTGGGAGGAAAGCCCGAAGTGATGTAGGTCTCAGACGTTTACCACTTTGGTGAAACCCACGAGCACGGGTATGGTGCTGACAACCTAGAAACATAATGGGGGCGAACCGGGATTCGAACCCACAATCATAGGTTTCTGGCGTGCCCAAGGAACGCAACTCTGCACGGCGAATCGCGGCGCCTTGGACGACTGGGCCACCCGTGCCCCCCAAACTATTAGAACCACTTCAATGAAACAGCACAATCACGCAGTCAGAAATCCTGATATCATTATTCAAACTGACATCCCAAGAGAAAATAAAGTGAACTTTGTAAAGTTTTGTAGACAGAGTGGCGGCCACAAAAACAGTGTTCTTGTTAATGAATGTTATAAGTGCTTTTCCTTTCTTTGTTTTTGTTTGTTTGCTTGTTGTTTAACGCCGCATTCAGCAATATTCCAGCTTTATTACCCACGTGGTGAAAATACAGGTGGTAAGATACTAAGTCCGTACGCCACACGTGTGTCGTACAAGGTTGACCTTGTTTTATTCGTTTTGATTGGATAACCGTGACCTCTGTCACACCGGAACTACCTTTTTCATTCATAAAACAATCGCGAGACGTCATTCGCTTTCTCAGCTACAAAGCAGAACTCACACTCCGGCGCAGTGGTGACTCAGCATAACTCTAAACTATGCTGGCTGGCTGCCGGCCGCAAGGAACTCTGGGTAGGAGAGTGAGCTGAACTAAAGGAATCTCACGAAATCGAGAGACATTTACACACACTTTATTAAACCAAAAAAGATCATCACAAGCATTAAATTCGCTTTGCATTCTAAATTAGTTATGCTGCAAACATTATATAATCGAGCCATGCATATCCATATGACAGACAGACAGATTTATTTCGTATGTGCCATGAGGCCAATAGTACAATGACATATTTTTGTAAGAAAATTCGTCGTGGAGCACCACTTGTATGCTGATTAGATTGAGCTGAATAGATGTACATAGTTTTATTAATATTCAATGTAACATCCTTCTTTCGAATATCTTATAAACAAAAAATGCAAGTCTGAGAAGAACGTGGCTATTTTTGCTGTTCATTAACTGTACAAATTCTCTTTGTGATGGATACGTATACTAATAGTTAGGCAGGTATTTGATTCTTATATCTTCATATACTGGACATATCAATAAAACATGGTATTCATCTTCTTGGTAATATTTGCAGTAAGGACACATCGATGTATTAACATCATTATCTTTGGAATGTATATTTGTATATTGAGGGTATGTATACCACACCTGAACTTCGTTAAACATCTGCCTAAAGATAAAGATCGAATAGTTGTTAAATACATTTCTGGAGTTATTTCTATCTTAAACATTGAATAGGCATGTAGGGATTTTGAACATCTGATATCAGCTGACCAACCTTGACAATACATATCTTTACATCGTTGTTTAAACATTGTTAAGAACATTATTTTATTTCCAACATCCTGGCATATCCACGCGTATGCAAATCCATGCGAAAAAAAGAGTTTCTCTAACAGCCGAAGCCCAGTTTATATCCCCAAAGTCATCAAGGCGCTTAAGCATGTACTAGCATCGTCTAGAGTATCGTGTATCCGGCTGTCTGAGCAAACGTATCCAGTATGAGATAACCCTGCATTGATAGTGTATAAATATCGGGTGCCTTCCGCATTCTGCTAAAATTGCCTTATGTGGTGATCGGTAGCCGACGCCAAGAACAAACTTACAAAATTTTGTATGAATTTTCTCAATACTGTGGCGATATAAGGTTCCCCAAAGTTCCGAGCCGTACGTCCGTATTGGCTGTATTTTACCATCAGATATCCTAAACAGCGATTGAACAGGTATATTTCTAAATGTACTAATAAACTGCTTCGCTGAATACATTGCTTTGTCTGCTTGCCTTGAAAGTACTTTACATGCTTTTGTAAATAAATTTCGACATGAAATTAAGCAAAGATATTTGTAGTATGATACTACTTCTAGTCTTTCTGGACCGAGGAACCATTTCTCATGTTTTGATATCTTTCCCCGTTTCTTGAAAACAACAACTTTAGTTTTGTTAGTATTTCCAGATACTCCCCACTTAGCACAATATTTGTATAGAACATGTATCTTTTTCTGTAAAGTTAGAACACTATCTGCAAATATTACAATATCATCCGCAAATAGTAAAATCGATAATTCCTCTGCAACTTGCGTGTACAAAATTACCACAGATAATTTAATCAGTGTTAACGATATCATTCACAAGTTCGTCAATGTACAAGATAAAGAGGAGTGGTGATAATAGACATCCCTGTCTTACACCTGCACTTGTATTGAATACATCAGTCATAGTGTTTTTACTACATCTTACAGCTGCTTTTACATTTCCATATATACTTCTTAGGAGTGTACTTATCTTACCATGTATACCTTTACCGAGCAACGTATAAAATAATTTATTTCGATCCACGGTGTCAAATACTTATTTGAAGTCAACAAATATACAGTAAAATTTTCCACGCTTCTTTCTAATATATTTATGTGTCAGTGAATATAAAGTAAATATGTGATCAATCGTTGAGTAATCTTCTCTAAACCCTGCTTGGCATTCTGTGGAGACCCAAAAGTTTATTCAAGATTCAATAATTGATATGAATATTTTACTTATAATGTCTAACATGGCAATGCCTCTATAGTTATTTGCGTCATCCTTCGAGCCGGATCTATGTAATGGGACAGTAAGTCCAAGATTCCATGATTCCTGGAATTGACCTGTCTCAAGAATATGGTTAAAAAGGCGTTTATAGAAGGGTAATAACAGAGAACAGGTTTCCTTCACAGCCTCTGTTGGGATCCCGTCATGTCCCGGTGATTTTCCAGTTTTCAAATGCTGTATAGCATTTATTATTTCACGGTGTGATATTTCCCCACTGATCAGTTCATCGCAGTTTCTACAGTCATCACAGTCTACAGTAGAATGGTTTTCTAGGAAATCTGCGACATCTTTATCAAAAGAGTGATTTGGTTTTACTTGCGGATTTAAAAGTTCTCTGAAGTTGATGACGATCCCAACTCGCGTCTATAGCAAGATTTCTTAATTGTTTTCCAATTTACAATCTTTACTTTTTGCAGCTTTTACAACTTCTCCAGAGACAGACATTTCATAATCAACCTTTTTTTCCTTTTACAAGTTTCTTTAAAGAACAAGTTCTTGGCGTTTAAATATTCACTGCAATGTTCACTATCATTCGTAATGCTAAACCTGTCTAGAAGGTCATGACGTTTCTATATTTTTAAAAGTGGGTCAGTGACATTCGTGTTGATCGCAGTAAATGTTTCAAAACCGATATTGTTGTTTATTTTTATTTGATAACAAATTCTATCCATTTTAGTACGGTGGCCCATAAGGGACGTGGAGTCTGTTTTTCCATATTTTGATATTTCACTTACTTTTATCGTAACCTTTTGCAAATTAACACGATTTGTCTTACAAATATGTGATAAATCATGTGTAAGAAGATATTGAATCGCTGAAAAGTGAAACGAAAATGTCAAAAACTAAAATGAAAATACAGAAAACTATTTCCACCGCGGTGAAAACGATTTACACCGCGGAGGAAATAGTTTTCTGTGGTTTCATTTTAGTTTTGACCTTTTCGTTTTGGTTTTTGACATTTCCATTTTTTTTTGACATTTTCGCTTCACATTTCAGCGACTCAATAGCTACTTGAAAGTACATTTTCCATGTTTTCGGTTGTTTTATACATGATTTATCACATATTTGTATGACAAATTGTGTTTATTTGCAAAAGGTTACGATTAAAGTAAGTGAAACATCAAAAAATTGAAAAACAGACTCCATGTCCCTTATGGGCCACCGTAATTTTAGATATAATAACGGTAACGCTATTTTTCAGGGCATTATCATTTGCAGAAGCCCTCGGTCTTTTCAACAGTTAATGGAAGACCTCATTCTTCTGCAAATGATAATGCCCTGAAAAATAGCGTTACCCTTATAATACGATACGACAGGTCAATATGACGTCATGATAACACACAAATTTCATTGGTTAATGCGTACAAGGGTGACGTCATGTTTGTCTTAAGTGTCACCAAATGATGCGCATATAGTGTATCATCCTTAATGTCATAAGAACATGTTTTTATTCAAAGCCATATTTTGCATATGCCATTTTCACTGACCGCAGTGAAGTAGATCACTGGCTGTAGTCAATATGTGCCACGGTTCAGTAATTGTAGGGAGCACGGGTGGCCCAGTCGTCTAAGGCGCCGCAAATAGCTGTACAGAGTTGCGTCTCTGGGCACGCCAGAAACCTATGATTGTGGGTTCGAATCCCGGTTCGCCCCGATTATGTTTCGAGGTTTGTCAGCACCATACCCGTGCTCGTGTGTTCCACCGAAGTGGTAAACGTCTGAGACCTGCATCACTTCGGGCTTTCCTCCCACATTAAGCTGACACGCCGTGATATAACTGGAATACTGTTAAAAACGGCGTTAAACACAACTCACTCACTCACTCATTAATTGTACATACCACACGTTACATTGCCATGTTTCGTCTCACTGCATCTCTGCGTGTATCCACAGATGGTATGATGGCAAGGACCAAGTGTTGTCTGTAACATTGAATATATATATTTAGTGTAGTGTATAAGTTGCAATCTCATTATTATCAGATCTTTGTTCTCGCTCTCGAGAAAAAAAGATCTGAGGACATCCAACGACCTTTCATCCGACCAATCAGATCATGAAAGTGACAGTCGGAATTTTTCAATCGTCGTCTTAAATGGAAGTCGTCAGGTTGAAATGAGTGCCGTAAAGCTCGAGAAAGCTGCTTTCTAATTGGCTGATGTCGACTTCTTGTTAGTCGTTTCAGTGGTCGGTCAAATTTCGCAAAAGGTCGTTCTGACGTGACCCGTAATGTCCTCAGATCTTTGTTAAGCGGCAGCGAGAACTTAGATCTGATTTTAATGACTGACTGACTGACTGAGTATGTTTTTACGCCGCTTTTAGCAATATTCCAGCAATATCACGGTGGGGGACACCAGAAATGGGCTTCACACATTGTACCCATGTCGGGAATCGAACCCGGGTCTTCCGCGTGACGAGCGAACGCTTTAACCACTAGGCTACCCGACTGCCCCCTGATTTTAATGAGATTGCTATAAGTTGTAGCAGTACAACGAGGAGTACATGGGATTTTATGCGTCCCGCGTTAGGTTTTATACGACGAGCCCATGCACCCTGCGTGATCCTGCAACAACGAATTTAATATGAAATTATAAAATAATTCAAAGGAATTCAAAATTGAAAGAAAACAGCTGCTTGAGCTGAGGTTGCGCTGTGTTACGTAACATCCATTAGTCGGAAACAACGTGCGTTTTTTTGGTTTGAAGCGGAGTATTTATTCTGTCTCTCAGAAATGCAAGTCTGGCCTGTATGCTCGTGGCGGGGTATACGAGATTTATTTCCCCACTGAGGAATGTATTACCCTCCAAGGCGGGTTACACAGTATATAATCAAGATCACGTGGACCAATCAGATCTCATCATTCTGACATGGAGGATTGATAAAGTTATTTGTAAACGTATGACATGCAGCAATATGCATATGTAAGCAATACCGTCTAATAGTTTGTAATTTTACACAAATTATGACGTTCTCGTGTTTTGAGAGAATTGTCTGTATGACGTAGTTCAAAATTAACATCGTTTTTAGTTTCAAAAAATTCGGTAAAGGCTATGTCGTGTCACTGGGTTGTCTGGTCTCATCACTTGATTATCTGGTCCAGACTTAATCATCTTCCCGAGACAAGAGAGTTAACTGACTTGAAAAGTCCAGTTTCCACCCTTGCCGAACTAGGCTGGAATAACTGGGCTCGATCGTTGCGCCACCAGTGGCTAAGATCTATATTGTGATAAAACGGGTCTTACATCGCGAAATGCATCAAATCACGTGAACACCTTGATTAAAATATGAACAGATTTGGAAAATATCTTCTGACAACGAGTTGGCGGTGCACATGTTTTGCAAATCCTGCAATCGACCGAAATCTGCACGACAGGTAACGAACCGGATTTCGATTTCGGTGCGCGATTTTGATTGGACTATGCATAGACTCGTTAGTCCAGCCAAAATTCAGCTCCATAATACCAGCCTAGTTCGGCAAGGGTGGAAACTGGACTTTTATAGTCAGGTAACTCTCTTGCCTCGAGAAGATGGACTTAATTGACTACACCACACTGTCGTATGGCTGGAGTAAAACGTTTTTCGATTGTATGGACACTGTGTGAGCGAGTTTAACCCTTTCGCGAACATCTGTCCCGTCCTAACTAGTTTGTGCAGATAATCGAAACTGATTCTGTGGGGTTGACGTAAACAAATATATCCAATATAGCCCATGCAAGTCTATAAATATCTAGCAAGTCTAGATTACTGCAGTATCAGGAAATGACGAAAGTTTCTGGGCTCCTTTTTACTATATTTTAAAACTATAGCTTAACAACTGTTTTTGTCTGTAAAATATGTTCATTTCAGAGACTAGATTTAAGTCTAGGGTTGATGTATATATTCACATAATATTTCTATAGTTTATGTTGTTTGTTGTTTTACGCCGCACTCGGCAATATTTCAGGTATATGACGGCTGTCTATTAAGAATCTAGTCCGGACCAGACAATCCAGTGATTGACATCATGAGCATCGATCCATGCAATTGAGATCTATGACATGCATCAAACAAGTCAGCGAGCCTGACCACCCGATCCCGTTAGTCGCCTCTTACGACAAGCGTAGTCGCCTTTTACGGCAAGCATGCTTTGCTAAAGACTTATTCTATAATTTATGTACAAATATCTGATGAATTTACCATGACGATCTCATCTAGTCATATACTCCCTGCAGCAGCCTAAGGTTTCTAATCCAGAAAACACTCTAATATCAATATAATCATTGCCTATGCTATGAAATTATTAATACAGCCAGATTTTTTGGCTATAGAACTTGACCCCTGTGGCTCTTAGAATTACAATTCAAAATCCAATAAGTGACGCAGAGGATCAATACAAACTCAGGACATTTCATAAGTGGTTTATGACCAATTGATCTCATATCGTATGTAACATCGTATGTACTTCGAGTGAAATCGACCGCCTCCGTGGTCTAGTGGTAGAGCGTCCGCCCGGAGAGCGGAAGGTCCGGGGTTCGATCCCCTGCCGCGTCATACCAAAAGACGTTAAACGATGGTACTTGTTGTTACCCTGTCTGGCGCTCGGCATAGCGTGAAGATCCGGGGTAAAATAGGTCTTCAGCAACACATGCTTGCCGTAAAAGGTGCCTATATGCTTGTCGTAGGCTCGCTGACTTGGTTGATGCATGTCATCGATCCCAATTGCGTGGATCGATGCTCATGATATTAATCACTGGATTGTCTGGTCCAGACTCGATTATTTACAGACCGCCGTCATGTAGCTAGAATATTGATGAGTGCGGCGTTAAACAACCAACCAACCAACCGTCCGTCAACAATTTTTTTCCAAACGACTTCTTCTTCTGATCCACTTATTAAATTAACGAAATTTGACTTGAAGTATCTCAAGGTGGTGGGGAACCCATGCTTGCCGTAAAAGGCAACTCAAGGTAACTCGTAAAAGGCTTCTCGTATGAGGCAACTAACGGAATCGGTTGGTCAGGCTCGCTGACTTGGTTGATGCATGTCATCGATCCCAATTGCGTGGATCGATGCTCATGATATCAATCACTGGATTGTCAAGTTCAGACTCGATTATTTACAGACCGTCTTTAGATAGCGCTGATTGCTGTTAGGGGCGTAAAACATCAAACCAACCAACCTAGGTGGTGGGGATTCAAACAAACAAACAAACAAACAAATCGGCATAAAGGGGCTAAAACAAGGACTGGTCGGCTCGGAGTCAGTATACTGTGTCTGAGTGGGGTATTCATGTTAAACTGCGGCATGGTATCTCAGTGAGCTAGCACTATAAATCAGCATCAGTCCGGACTAGTACAAGCAGCCACACACATACATACACGTACATGCACGTCGCTACATAAGTGCAATAACCTCGGACGCGACGTTAAAGTTCACCTCAGCTCAAGTGAAATCCTACCTCGTTCCAATTCATAATTGAACTGTAGATGAAATCCGAGCTTTCGCCGCCACCTTCCAGACTCTTGGGGTCATCAAAACCGTTCAGATGACACGCTCTCCGACCAAATTCAAACTCGAAAGATTTGCATATTCCATATGAAACGCATTCAGAGGCACAGGTGAATAGAGATGAATTCTCGATAATCTTAAACGTAGCTCCCACTAGATGTTTTCCATAATGTAAATCGGGCATACATGTGTCTGTAAACTGCACCACACCCCAAAGTATGTGACAGCAAATGTTCAAGATTTCCAAATGTCCAAAGCGGTGAAAGGATACGTACAACATGACTTCAGTATCGACACGATGTTAGAAATGTTTAAAATGTCGGCGAGATTCACATGAAAACGTTAGACACACCGCGCACCGCTTGTTCGTCTATCCCTCTCTCAATGAGCATGCAATGAACACAAGATGGCGTCGTGGGAATACATTGCTTGTTCTTTTTGAGACTAGACGCAACTTTTAAAAAAACTTCCTCATGAAATATAAATCAAAGCCTCCCAATCATGCTAATCGATTAAAGTGAGTGAGTGAGTTGGGTTTAACGCCGCTTTTAACAGTATTCAAGTTATATCACGGCGTGTCAGCTTAATGTTGGAGGAAAGCCCGAAGTGATGCAGGTCTCAGACGTTTACCACTTCGGTGAAACCCACGAGCACGGGTATGGTGCTGACAAGCCTAGAAACCTAATCGGGGCGAACCGGGATTCGAACCCACAACCATAGGTTTCTGGCGTGTTAAAGGGACGCAACTCTGCACGGCGAATCGCGGCGCCTTAGACGACTGGGCCCCCCGTGCCCCCTAATCGATTAAAGAGAACAGGGCGCTGGATGTGTCTGGGATACAGAAGGCGAGACGCGACTGGATGTCTTTTTGCTTCAAATCATCAGTTGTTGCTGCCAGTGTTTTCCAAGAAGGTAAGATCCAAGAGTCTCTTGCAGGATCGGTCACCCATTGTCCTGTGACCCTTGTCGCCACTATTGCCCTCTCTGATAACGTGAGTTATCTCCCTTTCCATTTACTCCGGCGCGAAAGTCAGCCCATTTCCGGGAGGTCACGGTCTTCACCTTCTTGCGCATTCGTCACCACTCGCCCCTTTCCGTAACCTGCAACAAGACTCCTCCCCTCTATCGAAGAATGTTAGGTGCGAAAATACGACAAACCAATCAGAATGCGCGTATGACTTCAAGTTCTTCATCAAAGAATTCCTCAGAAATATTTTTTGATTTTACATATGTCTTGCATCTAAAAATTCACCAAAGACACAGTTAAATGTGTTCAAACATACTGTATAATTCCGCATGTCCCGATGTGCTTTAAATTGCATCTGAAATATATATAATATATGGGGAAATATATGTGAACCATTACGCAACGAGTTGACAATTGTTTTAGGTATGTCCGTTTGCGCTAAGACGGAACCCGGTCGCAAAAATGGCCATGAGCGGGACACGAGTCGCTATTCGGCTTGTCCCGGAATAACACGAAATTCTCACGAATGTTTCTTGCGAACACCAGGTAGCATCACCATTAGATTGTGTTCGTAAACACAGGGCTAATGTTTGTTTGTTTGTTTGTTGTTTAAATCCGCACTCACTAATATTCCAGATCTTTAAGGGTGGTCTGTAAATAATCGAGTCTGGACAGACAATCCAGTGATTGATATCATGAGCATCGATCCACGCAATGGGGATCGATGACATGCATCAACCAAGTCAGCGTGATGTGCAAGTAATTATAGTTGCAGCAGAAATTGTTGTAAGTGTAGATTGAGTCATTTTTAGTGGCGGCAAATGATTGACCGCTTAGTCAAAAATATCAATCGCTGTCGTAGACGACAGAGTTATCTTTCCTTGCTGAATGCATGAACACGACAGGTTTGGTCGTCGAGAAGTGTCCGGATAGGGCAGGTTCTCTGTATAACGGCGACAGGAGGGCAACTCCGGGAAGTCCTCACACCTGACGTCTGCCTAATCCACTTAGCATCTGTAAATCATGAGTGAGTGAGTGAGTTGGGTTTAACGCCGCTTTTAACAGTATTCCAGTTATATCACGACGAGTCAGCTTAATGTGGTGAGGTGAGGTGAAATGGGGTTTAACGTCGCGTCAAAGATTATTGCACTTTTTTTCTTCTTTTTTTTTATAAATGTTTTATTCAGTCATATACACAGTATACATATGCACCCGGAAAGCAATACAGCTTTATGAATACAGGTACTTCACAAAAGGATAAGGTACAGCGGAGGCCTGTTGCAAACATCAGGTGAATAAAAAAAGTTGGGTGTCGTCAGCATATTGGCCCAATGTGTGTTCAATATCGTGTAGAAGTATACCTTTTATATCTTCATTATTACGAATCATGATACCGAGAATTTCAGCTACGAAAAGGAACAAATAGGGGGAAATTGGGTCACCCTGTCTGCAACCTCTTTCATTCATGAAAAATTCAGAGAGATAGCCATTTTGGACAATACAAGAAGAGGCATTAGATATGAGTATTTGTATCCAGTTAATCATATTTGGCCCAAAGCCAAATTTTTCCAGAACGAGGAAAATAAAATCTTTATTCACGGTGTCGAACGCTTTCTCAAAATCAATGAGTATCAACGTACCTTTTTTGTCAAGTCTCCTAGTTTCAAAAATGATATCGTAAAGTAATCTAGTATTTTCACTTAAACATCTCCCAGGGATAAATCCTGATTGATTACAATGAATTAATTTGTTTAAAGATTGCTTGATTCTATTAGTAATACAAGAGCTTAAAATCTTATATACAGCATTTAATAAAGTAATGGGACGCCATTTTTTAAATCTTTTTCTATCTTTGTTTGCTTTTGTGAATGCAAGTAATCACGCCCCGGTTTATAGTAAAAGTCAAAGAGTTAGAATGGTAAGCGTGATTAAAGTATCTCCATATCCAGACTCTTAAATCTTTCCAGAAAAAATTAAAGAAGTCAATTGGGAAGCCATCAAGACCTGGGCTCTAATTATTTTTCATTGCAAGTGTAGCTTTACCAATTTCGTTTAAGGATAACGGCTGTTCAAAGGCCTGTTGCATATCATTCTCTAGTTTTGGGATTGGAATATTGTTTAACATCGGGCTTGGATCAGTATCTACTGAAAAAAAAATTTGGTACAAGTTTCTATAAAATGATTCTTGTTCTTTAATGATGAGAGTTGTATCATTCAGTCCCTCACTTTCACTATTAGTCAATGAGGAGATAAAATTATTTGTAAAAATTCTATTTTCAAGACGACAAAAGTATTTAGTTGGTTTCTCTCCCTCCTCATACCATTGTAATCTCTTATGAAAAGCATTTATCTTGCTTTCTTCTTCTTTAATTTTTTCATAATCCTTTTTTGATTCAGATAATTTACTTAAAGCTTCTTCAGAAATATTTTGAAAATCCTCTCTAATTTTATTTTCATATTGGTTTATTTCTTTTTCCAAATCACCCAATTTCTTTCCTCTTTTCTTTTTCAGATATGAGGAAAAAGAGATTGTTTTACCTCGCAAATTCATTAAAAAGGTTTCCAAGAATAGGGAATCAGGTATATTCAGTTTTAAATCCAAATCATCAAAAGGAGCAGAATGGTCTGATCTATAAGATGGATGCACATATTGTTGTTTTGTTTCATCTAAAACAGTCGTAACCATATCCACATATTGTTTATTTCTTAAAAGGGAAGTGTTAAATTTAAAATATCCACGGCCCCTATTATTTATCAGAGAATCATTTAGGCATAAAGAAATAGCCGAATGGTCAGATTTATAACCTGGGAGAATGTCAGCAGCAGAGGATAGGTTTGAAATATCTTCACTAACCAGAAAAAAGTCTAGCCTAGCTTGCTGTCTGGGTTTATGTTTCCACCATGTAAATTTTCTAACAGCTGCATTCTGTTCACGCCAAACATCATATAGGTTAAACTGAGATAAATAGTCTAGAACCGTTTTTTAGCGTTTGGGTTGTTAATATTTTTATAGTTTTCCAGATCTAGAGATTGATCAAGAATGAGGTTCCAATCCCCACAAATTATAATCGCTTCATTATCAAGTCCATCAATGGCATTAAAGATATCATGATAAAATTTTGGGACATCAGAATTAGGCCCATATAAAGTAGCTAAGGTCAATCTTATTCCTTTAATGGTTATATCAGCAATTATAAATTTTCCACCATCATCTTTCATAACGTTATGAATAGACATTTTAGAGATTATTGCACTTATATAGCGACGTGCATGTACGTGTGTGTGTGTGTGTGTGTGTTTGAGTGGCTGCTTGTACTGCGGACAGATGCCGATTTATAGTGCTAGCTCACTGAGATACCATGCCGCAGTTTAACATGAATACCCCACTCAGACACAGTATACTGACTCCGAGCCGACCAGTCCTTGTTTAAGCCCCTTAATGCCGAGCGCCAGACAGGGTAACAACAAGAACCATCTTTTAACGTCTTTTGGTATGACGCGGTCGGGGATCGAACCCCGGACCTTCCGCTCTCCGGGCAGAGGCTCTACCACTAGGCCACGGAGGCGGTCAGCTTAATGTGGGAGGAAAGCCCGAAGTGATGCAGGTCTCAGACGTTTACCACTTCGGTGAAACCCACGAGCACGGGTATGGTGCTGACAAACCTAGAAACATACCGGGAACCGGGACTCGAACCCATAATCATAGATTTCTGGCGTGCCCAAGGGACGCAACTCTGCACAGCGAATCGCGGCGCCTTAGACGACTGGGCCACCCGTGCCCTCCGTATTTCATGAACACACAATGCCATTTAGAAAGTGGCCAAATGTCACAAATGTTATATTTGGGATAACCCTTTCTCAGTAAAGAACAGATTCTCGTACTTTGGGGGGTTAAGACTCACTCAGCCACCGAGGCTTCTACAAAATGAAAGTCCGACAACTGGTAGTATAGATCACGTACTTTGTGTACCCCTCTGACAAGTGTACATTGGCACGGCTCCCATGGCCGAAAGCTATGAACACACAATGCCATTTAGAAAGTGATCAAATGTAACAAATGTTATATTTAGGATACCGCTTTCTTAGTAAAATACAGATTCTCGTAATTTGGGGTAACGATCCCGTCCGATTTGGTGGAAGCCTCGTAGGCTGTGTGGGTTAGATCGCCCCCCCCCCCCCCCCCCCCCCCCCCGAGGTGGCATGTCGGTAAACTGTGTGAAGTGTGAAAGATATAATTAATGTACATGTTGTATGACAACTAGTTTCATTATATGTCAGGGGCTACAAATTAAAAAAAATTAAAATATATAAAGAACAAACTGCACTACCAGTGAACATGATTGAAATGTGCATTAAGTTTGGTGAATCTCTGTCGCATGGTTTAGAAGATATGCT